AAAACAGCCTCTAAGGAAGGGAAATCTGGTCCCTAAAAGTCCAAATCTAGTCCCAAAAGAGTATTTGGGACCAGAAAAAACTGGTCGCCACCCGTCCTAAAAGCCTCCGTCGCTATTGGTCAACAACGACGGGTCAAAAGGACTGGTCGTTAAAAGGTTTTGGGACGAGGAACAAATCTGGCCGCTAAATCATTTTAGAGACTACACTTCTGGTCTCAAATAGACCATAGATATCTTGGGGAAGTCTTATTTTCAGGTCGTTAAAACATATTAGTGACCACCAACAACTGGTCCTCATAATCTTTAGAGAAGAGGACGACCTGGTCCTAGTAATATTTAGCGACCATTAAAGACTTGGTCTTAGAATAGCTTTAGAGACAAGCATCATTTCTAGTCCTTGATTATTCATTTGAGAAGTGTAACAAGTCTGGTCCTAGATTGACCACCAATACATTTCAACAAATATTAAATTGCTACTAAACATCTCGACTAAAAACAATGATATATATATATATAGAGAGAGAGAGAGAAGAGATAGAGACATGAAGGTAGATATAAAGAGTATGATTAATTAATAGGTTCACATCCCATGATCATAGTTTCAGTAATATTTGCTTGACAATAAAATGTAGCTAACATCCGAGCTAGACTATGATATGAAGTTTTGCATAACATTCGTAGCAAACTAATAATGAGCTTGTGCATCTTTTCAAAACTTGTTTCTTGACTAAAGAATGAACAAAAGTTGGGCATAAAATTTAATGTTTCAATCTTCATCAAGTGTTATCCAAAAGCATCAATAAAAGCTGCAAAGAAAAAAAAATCTATTAGATAAACTTTGAGATGTATTATTATTATATTTAATGTAAATTGTTCTATTGTCTAAACTAATAAGAAAAAACTGAACAGATTAAAATATATTGATTAAGATTAAAATTGCTATGCGCAAATGCAGTCACCAACACCTACATTTTGACTGAGTCTACTCCTTTTTCAATTTGGGAGAGAGCTTTCTTTCTATATCTGGGCATGTAACCATACATGTGCGTACTTCCTGGGACATAGATACCGAGGGCAATATGTCTTGCATCGTTGTAATCGAAAGAGATGTTCCATTTTCTTGACATCCTAAGAGAATACTTATTGAATCCCTTGAGATAAGGCAGAGCACTATACATCAAACAAACTTCACTTATTATGCCACTAGGATGATACAGCAACAAGAAGGTATACTTTAGCCATAAGAGCACAAAGGTACAGAAACAAAGGCTTCTTTTGTCCCAAGCTCAGGGAATGAACAAAAACTGGGGAGAAACTTGTTGTGTGTGAAAACCTCATCTAAAGCTAATTGATAGTATTCACAACGATTTAAATGACAACCGATTATGCATGTGTATGTTCCACAACTTCATCTATCAATTGTGGCTGGAGGCTAATAGTTTCGGCAGATGGAGTCCAACTGATACATTTTACAGAAATTTTAATTTGTGTTTTCTTGTTCCTACTGATGCATCTGGAAATAATCTCTTCTGTGATGTTGTAAAGCTTAACTAATGTTGTGATAGTATCTGATGTGTTTGACAGGTTAGTTGGCCTCGAAGGCCACTATCTAAGCCAGCTACAACTATGAAAAATAACAATATAGTTGCTACTTTGCATTCTAGGACATTCTTATCAGGAGAAGGTATGAATGTTGCAACTTTTCTTGCAAAAATTACGTAAAGAAAACTACCCTAAAATTACCCTCAATCTTCTGGAACTATTGCAGTTCATCAATCATATTACTCTTTAATTTCTACTGGCAGAAACGTATTAAAATTTGTTTACAAATGAATGTGAAAATTAATTATGGCTTATGTAAACAGGGAAGTATGCAACGCAGTAGCTGTTGTCAGGGATAATAAAATTAGATTCATCATGGCCTTTTTATAACCTTTGGGAAATGGAACTAGTAGCTCGACCAACGGTATGCCCATGTTGTTTGACCTTAACTAGTTTATCAAGAAAACTTTCAACAAGATTATTTTAAAAAGTGATTCTTGTTTTCTACACAACTGTGTGAATAATGAATGGAAAAAACACCATGGAAGATCAAGGACTCTTCTAATGATATTAAGGATCTATTAAACCAATATAGGATTATTAGCCACTGCTATGTTGATGCCAACAAGCTGATAGATTTCCTTCTATAGGACACAATTGGAACAAAGTTCCCACATACACTGACTTCATCATATTCCCAAATTAAATCAAGGGACTTTTGAATTTGGATAGATAGAAAATTCCATCAGTAAGAACCAAAAGAGACCTACTAGACTTATTTCTTATCCTTATGTTTTAAATTGCTGGAGGAATATGTAACTTGTATATAGGTTATTCCCCCTGTTGCATTTAACTCAACTTATGATAAGATAAGATGAAGTATCTAATTTTCTTATAGGAAGACTTATTGTACAGTTCCCTCAAATCACTCGTAACTTTTTGATTTTCAATGACGAACAAAATGCAATATTTTGACAAAAAAAAACAATCAGATGGCACTAAGAAACATAAAAAATTACATATTCTAAGGCCTATAATCTTGTATAGCTTTGTACTTACACAAAATAGTCGCCAGTGATTAAAAAACCTTCTTGTCTATAGTCACTTGTGATAATAAAAACATGGCCCACAAACTTGCTTCTCCTAATAGTTAAGGATGATTTAGTTGCATCCTCAAACTAATATATAAAGAAACAACCAAGAAAATTAGAAATCGTAATTATATTTTACGTCGGCTATATGTCAAAACTCCAGAACACTACACTATTCCTCACTAAATCACAATAGAAGTAACATTTTCTTAACTTTGAACTTGAAATTTAAATTCATATGTACAGACTTACTAGTCATGCAACTACAGAAAGGAATCTACAACTACAAGCATACAATGGTACCTTGATGCCTACTATTGAGCAAACATTTTAGGCTCACTGGACAACACTTGATTTGGGTGAAAAAACGTTCAGATAATACTCTTGATTACACATTATTTGTTGGTGGCTTGGCAGGTGATGTTACAGATTACATGCTTCAGGAGACATTCAGAGCCAATTATCCCTCAATCTATGGAACTAATGTTGTAACAGATAGGGCAACAGGGCACAAAAAAGGTTATCCATTTGTTAGATTTGGGGATAAGAGTGAGAAGTTACGCACTATGACTAAGATAAATGGAAGTTTTCTACACTAGGCCTCTGTACATTAGTCCTGCAGCTAACAAGAATATTGGTGGTCAGATGCATGCTTTTATAATCAAAGTACTGGAACTCAAAATGAGAATGACCCTACTAATACGACTTTTTTCATTGGAAACTTGGATTCCAATGTAATAGATGATGATCACCTCAGGCAGGTTTTGGAAAATTATGATTAACTGCTTCATGTAAATACCAGAAGGCAAACATTGTGATTTTGTTTAATTTACCAACAGAAGATGTGTTGAGGAAGCTCTATGAGCTTAAGTGGAACTAAACTGGGTGGACAAACCATCCACCTTCAATGGTGTCGTAGCCCTTCAAACAAGCAGTAGTCTCGGGGTAATCTGAACCAGTGGACTATACACCAGAATATGACTCTTATGTTTATGCCCAACCTACTCCAAACCCAATTATGTATTATGCCCAACCTACTGATCAAGACTCTTCCCTCTGTAAAACGCAATACTTATTGGTAAACATATATACAAATTTGACCGTGAAATTTAAATTCACATAGACCAACTCTAAGGTAAAAAGTATTTAGTCGAAACCTTTCAAAATGTAAAATAAAAAGTTCAACATGAATAACAGGACTAATCCTTATTTGGCTCACAAAATTTCAACACAATATATAAACTAGAATATTATTCATGAAATACTCAGATTTTTTTGAATTCGATATGAGATATAAATCTTCAAACACATAATACACTTTAGAAAAATAAATTGTCTATTAGATATATCAACCCAATAATTTTTCCACTGATTATACAAAAGAAAAGAGGTCAGATTCTGAAACCATATACCCATTTCATGTTAGAAAAGAGGAAAAAGAAGAGTAACTGAGATTAAACACGAAAAAACGACATCAATACATGGAAGAAACAAGAGCAACTTGATCTAAAGAGGAACCAACCTGGAATTATTTTTCGAGTAGATCTGCAATAGAATTCCTTTTCCAGCTGAGAAGCAATGACGAAAGGAAGAAGACACCAGATTCGATTTAGGGCAGAGCTGCTATGAAAATCTACAATCAACGTTGAGATTAGATCAGATAATTGCGGCGTTGATATTAGATCAGATAGTTGTGGCGCTGAGATTAGGTCAGATAGTTGCGGCGTTGAGATTTGAGGAAAGGGAAAGTTTGAGACGAGTATGTGTTTTAAGAAAACAAAGGATCCTTATCATTATACTATTGGTTTACTTAAATCTTCTTGTGCCTAATTTTTTTTAAAACACAGTTTTAGTTTTATTTAAAATATATTTTATTATTAAATTTGGCAAATCATCTCCCGCTCAAAGCTTCAATTACAATTTAGGACCAGTTAGTATGTTTGTTAAGGACTAGATTTAATACCTTCGCAATAAAATACACAAATAAGGACCAAAATATAATCTCTTCCTAATAGATATACCTTTAGAGACAAGATTATTAGCTCATCCCAAAATGTTGGTCTTAAATAAGGCTTTTTCTTGTAGTGCAATATTCAATCAAGTGTGTACTTAGAGAGGGTT